AGAAAGCACCAAGATGTTTTCAATGGTGAATTCTACCAAACATTTAAAGAAGAAATGATACCAACTCTCCACAGTCTCTTCCAGAAAAGAGGCAAAATAAAAAGGAGTCATTTATAACAGTCTATGAGTACAGTATTATCCTAAGAGTAAAATCATAAAAATACATTACAAAAATGGTAAAGTATATATCAATATTCCCATGAACATAAATACAAAGATCTCCAATAAAATATTAGCAATCCACATCCAACAATGTAAAAAGAATCATATACCATAGCTAAGTGACATTTATTCTTGGTATGCAAGCCTGGCTGACCATTGGAAAGCCAATTAATGAAACCCATCACATCTAGAGACTAAAAAATAAAAACCATATGATCATATCAATAAATGCAGAGAAAGAATTTTTTTTAATTTTGTTTAATGTTTATTTATTTTTGAGAGAGACAGTGTGAGCGGGAGAGGGTCAGAGAGAGAGAGGGAGACACAGAATATGAAGTAGACTCCAGGCTCTAAGCTGTCAGCATAGAGCCCGATGCGGGGCTGGAACTCACGAACTGCGAGATCATGACCTGAGGTGAAGTCAGGCACTCAACCGACTGAGCTACCCAGGCGCCCCATTGCAGAGAAAGAATTTGACAAAATCTAGCACCTGTTCATTAAAACAAAACAAAACAACTCTCAACAAACTAGGAATAGAGGGAAACTTCCTCAACTTAGTAGAGAACATCTACAAAAACCCTATGGCTAACAGCATAATAAATGGTTAGAAACTAGATGCTTTCCTGTTAAGGTGAGGAACAAAGCAAAGGTGTCCCTTTGCACACTCCTATTCAGTATCTTCTGCTAAGTTCTAGCTAATTCAGTAATACAAGAAAAATAAATTAAATGTATACAATTTGGACAGGAAGAAAGAAAACTGTCTTTGTTCACAAATGACATGTTTATCTATGCAGAAAATCTAAAAAGCGACCAAAAAACACTTAGAACTACTAAGTGATTATGACAAGTTTGAATGATAAAAATTTGCTTTTTTTGTAATCCAATAATGAACAATTCGAATTAGAAATGAAATATGCAGTACCATTAACATTAGCATACAAATGTAAATAGTGTGCGCTAAAAAAATAGTTTAAGAAATTTAATGAAATAAGTACCAGATTTTTTAAAAACAATATATTTCATTTGACTAATGATTCAAAATATTATTTTGACATTTAAAAATAAACATTATTTTTGACATTTATTTTATTGTTTAATGGGAGATTTTTAATTAAAGTATAGTGACACACAATATCACATTAGTTTCAAGTATACAAAACAGTGATTCAACAAGTTTATACATTATGCTGTATTCACCACAAGCCATTCTATTAGAATGGCTAAACTTCAAAATACTAAACACTGGTGAGGATGTCGAGCAGTAGGAGCTCTCATTCATTGCTGCTCAAGATGCAAAATGGTACAGGCACTCTAGAAAATTATTTGGCCATGTCTTACAAAGCTAAGCATAACCTTACCATATAATCAAGTAATTGTTCTCCCAAGGAGTTGTCCAAATGAATGGAAAACCAATGCCCCACAAACCCTGCATACTAAGGTTTACAGCAGCTTTATTCAGTTACCAAATGTGGAAGCAGCCAAGACGTTCTTCAGTTGGTGAATGGATAAACAAACTGTGGTATATTCATAAAATGGAATGTTATCCTGTTATAAAAAGGCAGTGAGCTATCCCATCATGCAAAGACATGGAAGAACTTAAACACATGTTATTAAGTAAAAAAAAAAAAAAAAAAAAAAATCTGAAAAGGCTCCCTACTGTATTATTCCAATTATATGACATTCTGGAAAAGGAAAAACTATGGAGACAGGAAAAAGAGCAGTGGTTGCCAGGGGTTCAGGAGGGAAAAGGGAAGGATGAATAACTGGAGCACAGGGAATTTTTAGGGCAATAAAACTATTCTGCAGGACACAGTAATGGTGGATGCATGTCATTATACCTTTGTCAAAACCCACAGAATATACAATACAAAGATTAAACTCTAATGTAAACTAGGGACTTTAGTGAATTATAATGTATCAATATTGGTTCATCAATAGCAACAAATGTACCACTCTAATGTAAGGTATTAATAACAGGGAAGAGTATGAGTAGGATTGAGGTGGTTTTATGGGATTATACATTCTGTTCAGTTTTTTTTTTTTGGTATACCTATAAAACTATTCTAAAAACTAGAAATTAAAAAAAAACTGGCTTCAAAAATAGACATAGGAGTATAGTTACATCAAAAGTGAATGATAAAGAATTTGGGAGTTGTATGGAGGACTATGAAATAGAACTGTAGATGCTCTTAAGTTAAAGCCCTTATGAAATAAACAACATCTAAATTACGAGCCAAAATGAATGAAGCTGGAGCAACCCTCTTTCCCCTCTGCAGTTTTTTTTTTTTTTAATTTTTTTTTCAACGTTTATTTATTTTTTTGGGACAGAGAGAGACAGAGCATGAATGGGGGAGGGTCAGAAAGAGAGGGAGACACAGAACCTGAAGCAGGCTCCAGGCTCTGAGCTGTCAGCACACAGCCCGACGCGGGGCTCGAACTCACGGACCGTGAGATCATGACCTGAGCCAAAGTCGGAAGCTCAACTGACTGTGCCACCCATCAATATACTCTTTATAAACAGGAGCTCACATTTCATAACAGTATTTTTTTAAGCACATGCTGGTAGGAAATTCAAAGTTGGATAACTTGTATTGCTGCTATGATTTATTTGTGCCTAAAAAGAAAAATCATAGAAGATGTGGCATCATCGCCTGTGGAGGTGATGCAGTGTCTAAGATCATGATTATTTACTTCCTCTCTTTTTTTTTATAAGATCTTATTGAATAACTATTTTTCCTTCCCTTGTATATAATCCAAGCAAGCTAGACACAAACAGCTATATGTTTATTCAGGAGGGAAAATAAAATATGATAATTACAAGCTATGTCTATGGTTAGTTAACAAATTGCAGGTACTCCAGCTTTGGGTAGAAAATAGATGGTGACCCTCTCTAAAATGGACACAGTAGGAGTTAATGTGAAACCGAATTACATTAATCATTTTGAGATGACTGACTCTGAGGGATGTTCTGTAAATGATTTGCTGTGTAGGCCATGCCATTTCCTCAGGCTTTCCATTGGAACATCAATCTACTGTGAAATGAAACATGAGCCGTTATTGTGAACACTAACATATTTGTGAAGAACACAAAAGATGTGTCTAGAGAGAACACTGAGAGTAAGGATTTGCTTTTCTGCAAGGAACAGAGGCGATGTATCTGCCAGGCAATAATGATGATGAGCAAAAAACAATATTGATTTACTGAATATGAGAGGAGCAATGCCAGTTTCCTTAGGCATATTAATTTTGATTATTCCAATAACTTTAGAAAGTCAGTATTATTATTTCTGCTTGAAAAGTGAGCAGACTGGGACTCAGAAATATTACATGCCTCACCCAAAGTCACAGAGTTGGGTCTGTCTGCCTCCGGCTCATGGGGCTTTGTCCGTGAGCTCTTTCTCAGCTGTTCACGTGTTTCAACCAGAATTTCTCCTTTGTAGTGAGACAACTACCAGGCAATATCCCAGGTTAGAAAAAATCTCCACAAAACTCTCTATATCAGACCCACAAAGAAGCAGCTGGTTTTTTTTTTTAATAACTTCTTTCTCTAAGTGCCTCAGTCTTGAAGAATGTGTGCCCTGAATGAATAAATCAGTGCTCTCACTACTGGAAATGATCATCTATTCTATTAATTTACAAGTATTCCGGTTTTCAGATGGTTTCCCATGTTAGTTTGAATCTTTGATTGGCATCTTGGATGAAGTACTAAATTCAACTTTCTGAAATGACAGAAGTGAAGGATAGCTCCATTGGATTTTTCTACAGCCTTCTTATAAAGATGTCTCTCTAAGAGCAATGCCAAAGAAGGCCAGATGCTGTAAAGCTTCTCACTGCCTTTGCATATGCTGGTCCTTTGCTTCAAATGTGTTCTCTGCATTGTCTCCTGACAAATTTCCCCTCCTCCTTCAAAATTCAACTCAAATGGCTCTCAGTTCTGTGAAATCACTCTGCAATTTCCTGAGTAAATTCAATCTCTTGTTTATTTTAAACTTGTACATAATTTTGCACACACTGCTGTTACATTCACTCAGCACTCTATAGGAACTCCTGTATAATTCTTTCTTCTCATCTAACCAAGAGTTACCCAACTTTTTAGATGAAGTCAGAGTCACCTTGTTACCCTAGCACCTAAGACAGTATTTGGTGTAAGAAAAAAATCCTTAATAAATATTTGTAGAAATGACACTTTAAAACCATGCAGTCTTATCTTGGAAAACTGTAGTCTTCAGGAAGATGTGAAAAGATGTGCACTTGTTGGGGGTCTATGTTCTTGAAGAGCTTACCTAAAATCATGGCTGTTGAACCAAGTTCATTCTAAGTTCACTAAACTTGATTTATTACAATTAAACTTCTGTTATAGCTTTCTTTTGCTTGCCCTCACCATATTTAATATACCTTCTGCTTACAGAATCATAGGATGCCTGAAATAATAGTGAGAAAAATGGAGCCCCAGAAAGTCAAGGGACTTACCACGAATCACATAGCTAAGTGGGAGAGTAAAGTGGAACTCTGGGTCTCTGAGCCCCTTTGTTATTCTTTCTAGTGGACCAAGGTCCTACGGAAAAATAACAATAACTTTTTAAAGCTTGTTTATAGCTTTTTAACTTATTCACAAGAAACGGTTTTTAATAGTTGTGTGGGGTGTTATACCATGGAAAACGTTGCCACCAGGTTTGTGCCTTTCCAAACAAAGCCATTCACAAATTTGATGTTGGCAATATTGGTCCCATAGTGGTATTGTGGTTTTCTTTTCTCAATCACAAAGCAATAAAATGCGAGCACGTGTTCATCCATACATATTGGCTGTCAATAATAAAATGAGGAGATATTGTACTGACCATAGTCCGTGTTTTCTGGCTCCCAACAATTTGATGGCCAAAAATAGGGTGTCTGTGGAACAAAAAGAAGTGGAACCCAGGTTAAGCAGACACAAAATTAGTAGAGTTCTTGGTTTATGAGCTGTGTTCATCTTTGGCAATTATCCAGAATGGTTTGCTAATGATGTATGTTTTGTAAAACAGGGAAAGTACCCAAACAGGCATTGTAAGACTTTCCTTCTACGATTACTTCCTGAGCAATTGTTCAGTCCAAATATGTGCAGCACCAGCAGGTTCTTTAAATGTCATACATTTGCTGCAATTTGACGTCAACCGACATAATGGTAAAAGGTGTGATTGCATCATTCAAAAAAAAAGTTTTCATCCACAAAGACTGAAAGCAGGGTATTAAATTCAGCACGACTCAAGATAAAATATATTTAAATATAACAAATCATTTTTTTTGATTCATATATCTCATTATTGTCATCAGTAGACCCAAAAGCTCAACTATGAAAATTTACCCTAAGATCTGGCTCTGTTAATTATATGATGTAGCTCTCAACATTATCCAACTAGATTTAAACTTTTCTGTCTCACTTTAAAAAAATATTTCTTCATAGGGGCACCTGGGTGGCTCAGTCAGTTAAGTGTCCGACTTGATTTCAGCTCAGGTCATGATCTCGTGGTCTATGGGTTCCAGCCCCACATCAGGCTCCATGCTGATAGTGCAGAGCCTGCTTGGGATTCTCTCTCTCTCCTCTCTCTGCCCTTCCCCTGCTCATGCTCTCTCTCTCTCTCTCTCTCTCAAAATAAATAAATAAATTCTAAAAAATACATTTCTTCATAAAAACACTTACTGTTTTAAAATTTTAAACTGCACAGCCAGAAGTGATTTTTTAAAAACTAATTTTTACTTAATCTTAATTGATTTAATTTTAATCTATTTTAATTGATTGGTGTGATTAACAATTGACAAATCTCAGTCTGTGAAATTCTACAACCTGACTGACAAAACCACAAAGACACTGACCAGGAAAACCCTGTTATCAGCAACATTTTGTATTTTCTAATAGTGCTTTTCTAGCCCCACTAGTTGGACATGCATGGCTCCAGACCATGGGGAAACTGAATGACTACTGTGTACTCTCTCAAACTTTGATGATTACTCCAGGACTCGACGGAACAAATGACTGCAGACATCAAACTTGTGGGTTTAATTATATTTATTAGTCAATTACATTAGCTATCCATGTGTAATGAGCGTATTTGAGGTAATCTCTGATGAACCATTTGATAATTCTCCCTCTAGAAGATGGATTCTCAAGAAGGGGGAAAGGATCATTGGGGAGAACTGTTTGAATCTCTGAGGGAGAGCCTTTTCAAATTGCTTGAGACTTTCAGGGGATTTTGATTTAGCCTCTACACCTTCTGGGAATTGCTAATATAATAAAGAAGTCTACTGATGTTAATTGTGTACACATGTGAACAAAATGACACCAAGAATTCGAGGTGGGGCGAGTTGAAACACTAGAAAAAGCAAGACATCAAGAATTTTTATAACCCCATCCTCACCTGAATCCCACTTGACTCCTTGGGAGATAGAGCTTTGAGGGTAAAATTGGGTCAGGATTTAGGGGAACTATAGGGGGACAAGTAGTTAAAAATCTTGCTTTCATGAGGGCCATTGGTTTTTGAGATACTTCTCAAAAGTGTTATTTCCTGAGGGTTGCTTCTTTATTTTGTGAGGGGCGTGTGTGTGTGTGTGTGTGTGTGTGTGTGTGTGTGTGTGTGTGTTTACATGTACCTTACTTTTAAAACACCTATTCTAGTCAGACTGGTCAGACACGTACTTTTTTTCTCAAAGCCACAAAGAATGTTCTTAACTTCATTCTCACCATTTTTCTTTATTCTTCCATCATTTACTTTAGTGACAATTCCCTGACTAAAAGTAACAGAATGAAGCAATTTTATGTTCTGATATTATGTGGAAATGCCATCAAACCAACATTCTTCACTAATATTGCAAGATTTTTTTCTAGGAAAAGTATTTTAATTTATAGTAAAAGAGAATTTAAAGAATAACAGATGCTTATAATTCACTGAAATTTAAAAATTTACTTTTAAAGTTCAACTAGATTTCAGGACATTTTAATATATGAGTTTCTCTTTGCTTTTCAGAGTTGGCTTCTTTCAACTATGATAAAATTGAGCTAGCTATTGCTCAATAACCTTTAGCACATATACTAATGTAATGAAAGTCATGAAACTGACCTAGAGAATCATGTCAGATCTCAATTCCAGCTAGCTAATAGAGGATAATTAGACAATTGCAAGTTTACAATAAATATAGAAATCACATGCTTTAAATTGTGCTGAAAAACGGAGACAAATTTACATACTGCAGCATATCAATGAAATTAAATGAAGAGTTCTATTTGTCTCAAGTTCATGCCCAGAAGCTTCTTCAGATTCCTAATGATAGTTAAAATCTCAGTCATTCATTGGTAGAGTAGTAAATATGATATGGCAAGTTTCCTATTTTAATTCATGATTTTTGAAATCCTCCCAGGGAGTTGAATTGCAGCTCAGTGTAATAAAGAACTTTCTGCTGCTTGGAACCAACACAAAAATGGAGGTGGACCCCTTGAACAAGAATGTGTTTTCTCTTACTAGAGCTGTTCAAATAAAAACCGATTAATGCCTTCACAGTCATTACAGCAGGAATTCAATGACCCCTGACTTCTCTGGAGCTTCTTTTGTTTGCTTTTTAAATCTCAGTTTTAAGATCCTATGACTATTAGATATACAAATATGTCATATTTAGATCCTATTTTAAATGTTAACAGGTCTTTAAAACATTTAACATTTAATATTTAACATTAATTAATGTAATTTAAAAGACTATCTATCATCTGTCATCTATGTAGGCACATTGAAAAATTGCTAGCCTTCTGCCAATACCTAGCAGTGATGTAATACATCTATCACTTGCACCCATTCCCTTGCTTTGTTCTAAAGCTCTTTAAAAACAGTCTCTCCTCTCTCCAGAATGTAGGGTGACCCATTCCCAGCTCTGCTCGTCTTTGATCCATGGCCATGACTAAGACATATAAACCTTGTCTGCCTACTAATTTCAATACAGGGAGGACAAGAGCAGAGTCAAACATTGTCAAACTCACAACATCATCACCAACTTTGGGCCATGTCTGAGCTAGTTTGCTTTAAGAAAAAAAATTTAAACTAGGTAATTCTCCAGAAATAAATAGACTGTATACAATGCTTCCCTTACAGATATGTTATTTTGCACAGAGATAGTTTTACTTGTAATATGATTGTGAGGATGGATAAAAGTTGTTATTTTTGTAAAAAGAAAAATCATAATTTTTGAGATTTTTATTAGGCCTAAAGTTTACTTATAGTCTGTATATGAAAAAACATTTTTAATTTTTTTAATGTTTATTTTTTAGCTAGAGACAACAATAGATATTGGGGCAGGGGCAGACACACACACACACACACACACACACACACACACACACACACACAGAATCTGAAGCAGGGGCCAGGCTCTGAGCTGTCAGCACAGAGCCTGACGTGGGGCTCGAACCCACAAACACTGAGATCATGACCTGAGCTGAAGTTGGATGCCCAACCGACTGAGCTATTCAAGTGTCCCTATATGAAAAAATTTTTAAAGAAAGTAAGATTATATGGAAAATGCAATCTTCCAGTAGAAAAGTAACTCCCTTAAAAAAAAATCAAAAAGTGTTCCTAATATGCAAATAATTTATCTGCTAATAACTAATAATTTCTATTTATCAAAATGTTACCTTTTAAGACCACAAGGTACTTTAACTTCTCAATAAGCTATCTTAAGCTACCACCACATTAACTATAAAAAAGGATAATATTCCTCTATTATAAAGCCTTTTAAAATTATGTAATTTGACTAACATATGTTGCTTGAATATTTAGGTCGGTATCATGATTTCAGGAGACTGCTTTATCTCCTAGGTATTCAGTGCATGAAATCCTATGACTATTTGCCTTGTATAAAAGGGTCCTAAGGAAGTGACAGTGAGGGTGTTCCAGGAAGACAAAGATCTTTAAACGTTTTTTTTTATTTTTTATTTTTTTAATTTTTTTTTCAACGTTTTTATTTATTTTTGGGACAGAGAGAGACAGAGCATGAACGGGGGAGGGGCAGAGAGAGAGGGAGACACAGAATCGGAAACAGGCTCCAGGCTCCGAGCCATCAGCCCAGAGCCTGACGCGGGGCTCGAACTCACGGACCGCGAGATCGTGACCTGGCTGAAGTCGGACGCTTAACCGACTGCGCCACCCAGGCGCCCCTAAACGTTTTTAAAACATATTACCTCTTTGTTCTCTGTCTGCCCAAGCAAGTTCTTTGGTACCCAGGTTATTGTTTTGTCATTTATTTATAGAACATCTAATGATATTCAGAACAAATGAGAGAGAATTCTCCAATGTCTACAAGTTTGACAATGGGGAGAATCCTCCAAAAATACCTAGAGCAAGAGTCTCAACTCTGGCATTATATGTGCCCTAATTTTATGGGCTAGAATCCACCAGTCAGTTATTAAGAAATCATAATGTCTAATGAAATGTAGAACACACTTCAGGTAAATCATTATGAACTCAAGTGTCAAGTGCATGCTCAATGACCAATATTAGAGTCCACAATCATTTTTGAAAGAATCTGCATTTTTGAAAGAATGAGCATCTATTTCATTTGAAAAGGATTTAGAAAAACTCGTATCAGTTTACAGGTTATCTAAGGTATACTTCTGTCTCAGATGAGTGCACACACACAAAGCATCATGCACGTCAGTCTTCGCAGTCTTCTTGTAGGAAGGCCTCAGATACCAACAGGCAGAAGGCCTTGTAAGTAGCTAACTTCTGTATTGGAGCTTTCCCATGAGAATTTGCTTTGACTGAAGGCAGTCTTATATCATGGACAGGGTCCAGAGTATAATCAATTCAGTTACACCTCTCAACTTCCTTCCCAGTGGCTAATGCAGCTTACACATGAATAACTCTCCCACCTCCTGAATTCCAGTAAGCCACTCTCTGAATTTTTCTTAACATTTTATATAAAACATATCTTCAATCATTACACATTTTAACTTTCACAAGTCATCTTAACCAAGCACATTCCATCTTTTTCCACTTGCTGTTTCTTCAGTTTTAAATTTAATATTAATTCGTTTCTAACTAGCTAAGTCAAATAAAATAAGTTCTATTTTCAAAATTTGTTTGTAAAAACAATCAACAAACAAAATGCAGATTTCTATTTTACAGTTAAGGAATATTTTCATCAAACTCACCTGAAACCGGTAAAAGGTGCCATCATCTTTGAGTGTGAGGACGTGATCCGAGATTGGAAAGAAGTAGCCGTGGGCAGCCATTAATGTTCCCAAATGTAGTGCCTCCACTATTTCATGAAAACAGACAAATAAAAATGTATATAAGATCTTTTTTTTAATGCTGATTTACAGGAGTAAAGGATTTTATTCTCTTTAGAGTATATTGTTACATTCAAATTCTTGGCATCCTAAACAACTTGGCTTTGTACTTTTTCTTTTTTTCGAGTTCTTTCACACAGGGTACTGAGATGGCTCCGGTTCCTGGTAGTGACTGTGCAATGGCCAGCCATATTGCATGACGAACGGTGGACAAAAACACAGCATTATGGAACATTGAGACTGGAAAGTTATTCTGAAATCACAGAATCTGAGTCCTTCATTTTACAGGTGAGACGTATTTTGCTGTATGTTAATGTCTTCCACAAACAATTCTATTTGGCATTTATATAGCACTTTAAAAAACTTTTAAAAGTATTCTCACTTGTATCACCCCCCAGCCTATGTTATGGATATCCAATACTATCAACAATTCTTCTAATGACATGGATTACTATTACATGATATCATCGGGGAACAGTAAGGCATCTAGAACTGTTTATGCTGTGTTAAGTGAGTGCTAAGCAACCATTCATGCTGCTACTACAGTCCTGCGATCATCTGGACTGCTCTAGCTTCTACAGCTCTATATTCAATGTTCTAGATATGGACTATGAAGATGTTTATTTGACAACGAAAATATTACGGTTTCCCAGAAGGCTGAGAAATGTTTGGGACATAATACTTTGATGCTCAATCTCCTTTTATAGCAGCCAACAATTTCTTCCAATAAAATGGTTAATGAAATTTGGTCAACAGAATCACTATTGCATTTGTACAGGGACAACGTGAAGTTTGGCTAACTTAAATTCTAGAAAATATGAAACTCTATAAAATAATTTTTTAGTCCATCAACAAGTTAGATTTATTGATCTGTGTTGTATCTTTCTATACAATTTTGTAATGGATTTATTTCTGTTTTCTAGACAAGTAAATGGTTCTTTAATTCTAGAATTCTTGCAATAGTTCCAGGACTGTATAGATCTGTCTTTATTTCTAGCCATCAATCCTGGGAGTTTTGATTCTCCAGCCAATACTGAGTCACTAAGCTGCTGGCTGTGGTGCACATGAGCATAAGAATCCTGTCCCTCCCCACCACCCTCCCATGCTTATAAAAGCTAATATAAAAATAATTATATTTTTATAATATAAAAATAATATCATATAATTATATTATAAAATATATAAAAAAATATATTTTATATATAATATAAAAATAATTGTTAAATTTTATCTGTGACAGTGCCCCTTTTAGTTGTCATCTATCCTCTTGTAAACACTTCAATTGGTAACTTACTTCTGGCCTGTCTCTGTGCTGTTCTTGTCGATAATAAAGAACAACTGCCAATCGTCCTCTTTGCCACGTTCTTGGACAACTGTTATTAAGTGTCCCAGGCATCTTATCCACACTGCAAATTAAGTCCTTCCCTGCACAGAATTTATTTTTCTACAAAGGAGCATTTTTTCATCAATTATATATGTGTGTGTGTGTGTGTGTGTGTGTGTGTGTGTGTGTGTGTGTATAATGTCTATATCCTTTTAGCTCAAAGCCAAGACCTTTTCAAAGCTTGTGCTGCTTACAGCTATATACGCACATATTCTTTGACTCTTGCTGAAACTCAGGAGCTAGTGTGGTGTTGTAAGAAGAACAAAACCTTTGGAGGCACTCACTAGTTTTTGTGACTTAAACAATGTGTGCTCCTCCCACCTTACAGAGTTGTTATAAGAATCAAACAAGAATATGTGTAAAGAAGTTGGAATAGTGTCCTGCGTATAGGAGACATTCAGTATATGGTAGCTGTTGTGCCTTCAAGATTTACACATGAATTCATGTTACCTTAATCCAAATCACTGCTAGGAAATCCAGTTGCATAAATTTGTGTTCAAGTAGGCTGAGTGAGAGAAACTGGCAGTCCTAAATAGCATCCTAAGTAGCCACTTACATATTATTTTGTGTATGTGTGGATCACTTATAAAATTGAAATAGTAAGAGAATCTATAAGGATTGCTGGCTCATAATAATGTGCAGGTGCTTATAGACTTGTTCATATTCTGAGTCCTTGGACTCTCCTGTCAGGTAGCACAGGTCAGAGCAACCCATTACATCTGTTTTCATCTTTCAAAGTCAGATGGTGCACCTATAATGTTATAACCATCTTTATTTGTTATATTCCCAGCAGTCTATGGCTGAGGAAAACATGATTAGCACTACTTTCCAGAAAGAGAATTGAATTATGGCACATGAGAAGGTTTGCAGGGAGTAGATTCAGGAAAGGAAAACTGAGATGCCCAGAAAGATAAATAGAAAAAGCCTTCTGAACTCTAATCACAGGACTGAGTGTGACTAAAGAAACGACAAAACCAGTGGGGTGCTAAAGTACTCATCAGGATTAAAAAAAAATATGGTGAAAGTAAACATAGCGAAGCTGCAGGAAGCAAATCAGAAGCAAACAAACATAAGCGCATTCTGACCTTCCTGCACCCACTGGATACTGATTCCGAGAGATCATACATTTCTGGAGGGGTAGGTACATGTCTGGAGGTTTTCCTCATGTAGCACTACCATGCATAGTCAGACTGTAACAAGTCATGTGCTTTGTCACAGGACCACCAGAGAACGTAGCTCTAGGACCCGAAAAATACTCAGAGGAAAAACCAGGGAGTTGGGGTGGATTGTCTGTTTTCTTTCAAACTTTTAAACTTGGCACTTAGCATATCAAGAGTGATAAGAGCTATTGAGCCAATATTTGCTGAATGAGTAAATAAGCACATTTATGAATCACGACATATCAAAAATATGAACAACGTAGCGCTGCATGAAAAAAGACAACACTAGCTATTTTGTGTTGTGATGATGAGCACCTTGTTCCGCTCTTCCAAGATAATGCAGATGTTCATAGTCTCATTTCACGATACTTCTGTAAGCTTTTGAGGTGAGGCTGTGGTAGGTATTTTAACTACGGGAAAAGGTAATCACGAGCTTAATGGCATAAATGCCACTAAGAGATCTGAGAGTGAGCATGGTGTAGCGTTGTCAAGGTTGAACTGTTTCCTGCTGCACTTCCCCATGGTCCTTCCGCTTCTGAATCTCAGCACAGCCTTAACCTAATAAGAATCCAGAGGACGGCTGACAGTCTTGGAACAAAGTGTTGAAAGAGTTTAATGAGTAATCCATCAAGATGGCCCTCCAATAATGACACACCAGATGGCTCCACAACATTACGCTTCTCGGCAAAATAATCACTAATTAATCTTGTACTTGTGTTATTTGCGTCACCCACACAGCTAAATAAAGTTCAACAACAAACCTACCATAAAATTCCAGTTTATTTTTCTTTTGGATAGTCAAGCCGTGAACAAACTGAGAGATAAAAATCCATCTCCAAACCACAGTTACGATGGGAACAGCCTAGTGCAGCTTTGTTAAGCCTGATCTATTCATTGCATTACTACACTCCAAACCCTGACTCAACAGAATTGTCAAAATTCTTTAAAAGCAAAGAGAATTCTGCATAACATAATTTACTTTTGAATCACAAGTACTTGAGAAAGTTAATAGGATGAAAAGCATATTATAAAATGGGCTTATGTTGTTCGGTGCTAGATTTCTATACATAGAAACATACATAGATTTCTATACTTACAACATATTTTCAAAACTCAGTAATATTTTCCTTATCCAGAGTCCCAACCCCTGGAAGTCCCAGCTCCTCCCAAATGTAGTCCATAATTGTGAAGTGATAGAAAAATGTCTCTGAATCAAGCAAATAATAATAAAATAATCTTGCTAAATTATGTTTTTATTTCTATCATATATTATTTATTTTTATTTTCTGTGTAATACTTAAGAATGGTATTGTTTCAGCAGCAGCACACAGCGTACTTGAGGTAGTAAATGTGATTAGTATGTGGGGAGAAATATTTTGGAAGGAAATCCACTCAAAATAGAAAAAAAAGGACAGCTGATGATATGATATTAGGGAGGAAAAAAGCTAAAAAGCAGACAGAGGTTAGTTGCTAAATTATAAAATAACAGGCCTTCATCAAGCTGATTCGGAGTCACAAAGATTTTGTTGAACTTCTTACTCTCTGTGTAAGGAGACGGGGAAGTGGTCATTTTAGAAACACTTCAAAATATTATAATTTTTTTAGAGTTGGCATTTCAAAGGGTGAAGTTAGTCATGTGGAAAAATCAAATAGATAGCACATTTTACTCTCTCACAAGGTCAAATAAAAGTGAACTATTACTATATTTAGGAATTTGTGAGGTAAGGCCACATTCTCAATAGTTCTGTGGTTACTGAAAGAAGTAGGTATTTGAGATTTCATTGATCTTTTTTAAAAGCATCATTTCCACATAGAAAAATCTTGTGCTGCTTGCTTTTTAACAATCATAATCAGGAAGTAGAAGTGGATAATATGGTGATATAGAATAGATAAGACAAAATAGATTCTGTTTGGAAGAAATAACAACAGAGGCATAGTTTAGATCAACCGTGAGGAATGCACTAGGTAATTAAGTACATAATATTCCCAAATAAAGGAGCAGAGTACAGAGGCGAAGCAGCCAGGCCATGCAAACCTGCTGCCTGGGTTCAAATCCTGACTCCCTCACTTGCTGGCTGTGTGACTTGGCAACAGACTGGCATTTTCTGGGCTTCAGTGCACTCATTGCAAAATGAGGATAATAAGATATTTACATCAAAGTTTTGTTGTGAGGATAAACAGAGATAATATGTGCAATGTGCTTAAAATAAGGTCCGCCACGTAAAAAGCATTCTAAAACTTGAGTTATTATCAGTTAGTTGATACTTAAGAAAGGATACATTGAGTAGCACTTAGTCTAGTGCTAAAACAACGAGGAAACTGGTCGCTGGTGTTGATCTAAGCCTCCAGGTCATGTTAAACACTTATAATTCAACATCTTTAAAGTCCTCCAGGTGATCAAAGTGGAGTCTTTTGTGTGTAGACG